TGCACACTTCATTAAGGGATAAAATGAATGAGCATATGTAGAGAGGCGTCATGGCTGAAAAATATTCTGTGATCTAAATCTAAGTAGTGGATGTAACATTGGCAAGGTGTATCCATGACAAGGGCCCAAGCACAGCTGGCAATAATCTGATGTAGGATGGGCCACATTGGCCTCATGCCTAGACTGAGTCCCTGTCTGTGATTCAACATTTGCTTATACAGCAACAGCTGTTGCTTGTAAAATCCACCACATCAGATCCAGTCCCAAACCTGTGACAATGAACACCTGAATGTTTTATCAACTCTTTGTGTTTCTGTTCAGCAAAACACCATCCAGAGTTCAACACTGAAGCCAGGTGAGCCAAAAGCTTCAATTTAGTAATTTTTCTCCTTTGTTTAGGAGGATTTGAATATGTTTTGATCAATCCAACACCAACTTCTTCACTTCCAGGTTCTCTTTAAAAGGCATCTGATGAAAATGGTTGAGGAATAAATAATTTCCCCTTATTCATGGTGCTCATCAAGCTGGTCATTTCTACCTCCTTCACTCTACACACCCTAACTCAGAATGCACATTACTTTTACATCCACTGTCATTGACAAAAGCCTTTAGCTAATGAGTTGAGCTAGCGCAACTAGTGTTTGGTAACACATGCCAATCATTTATTTAATTTTGCTGCTGTTTGGACGGCAAAAGGTTAATTTCTTTATAGAGATTATGTGTTTTTAACCTGACTGACTAATTATGCTCTACAGTAATCCAACATGCGAAGAAAATTTCAAAAAGTGTTAAACAGTAACTTTATTACTTTTTTTGTAAATATCAGGAGGGGTTAGCTTATCTTAGCTGGTATATTGAAAGAAACACAGGAAGACCAGTAAACTGACATCTTTGCCAGCTCCTCCTTTATCACAAAGACTGAGGAAGTCTCTGATTGATAATCTGTTGTATATTTATTCTGTGTAACTTCATAATCCATTATTTTGTTCTTTTTTTATGACAGTGCAGTAATGAAATTGTTGTTTACCTTGAAACCTTGGCGCTCTGATTATGGCTAGAGTCACTATAGCAGAAACAGTTTCAACGTAAACAACAATAAGGAGCCTAACCCCGGGTTTCCACAGGAGCCGTCAGCAGCAAGTTACTGCAGCAGCACGTCTTGCTCGCGTAAGCTGCTGCTTGGCCCTTCCCACGAGATGCGAAGCAGCAGGGGAGCAGCTGTCACCGACCGAGCACGAAGTCACACGAGTGACTTCGTCAGTAAACACAACAACAAGCAGGAGAAAACTACAACATGGTTTGTGTTTTATGTTCTGTCCATTTTATAATCACCAATACGGACCTGAAAAACAAAGGAGACCGCTAGCTAGGTGATAACTTCTCACGGGGCCGCACAGTTAGTAACCTTCTTTAAAGTAAAGCAACCGGAAGGCAGTACGTTCTTTATTCTGAAAATCTCGGGAGCTTCTCTCCATTTCCGCGTCCGATTTCCTGTCTTTCCTTCCCCAAAAATGTCGAACTTGACCCGTTTCAGAGGCGTCGCGCGTAGAAAATAGAACTGGCGCGTAAAGGCCGCGACATGCTGCTCCTGAGACGCAGCCGACTCGCGCTGCTGACGGCTGCTGACGGCTCCAGTGGAAAAGGTTCTGTTGACCACAGCGGTTCCTATCAGCAGCTATGACGTGCTGCTGCAGTAACTTGCTGCTGACGGCTCCTGTGGAAAGCCGGGGTAAGTCACTTCTGTACCATGGGTCGCCGGAAGCACAAAAAAATTAATGCAAGTCAACGGGGCTAAAAATGCTATTTTCTAACTCCGCTTGTTTTGTACCATGTATTTCACATATGATGTCCGTGAATTTATACACAGATTTTGATACCAAGAACGTGCTTATTTTTGAACGGGGAGGAAAGATATTTTAGGTTTTGTGTGAAAATAAGTCCAGGACTACAAATGCGCCTCACAAAAGTGACGTCATTGAACCAGACACGGAGAAAACTGAGAGTAAATGGCTGTAAGTTCAGCAAACTTGCCACAGGAAGAAAGAACCACCATGAATCTGGCACTCGCAGAGCAGAGACGCTTCTCTCCTTGCTCCCTTATCTTTTTTTCCCAAGACTCTTTGTCCTGTCTGCCCACAGAGCGCTTCTCTGCACTTCTCCTGAAAAACCCCATTTTTTAGAAATGGATTTAATTAATTGGTCATTCAACGCGATTGATAAGATTTTTTCAACGATGAGAACGGAGCAGGGGGCTCCCACTTGCCCGCAAGAGACACACCCGGCGGGATATGTGATGGATTCCTGGAAAGAGTGGAAGATTGTATGCCTCTCCCAGCTGTCCATTGAGGACGTCGAAGATGTGTGGATGTTTGGCCTGATGATCACTGGATTTATTCTGATTGGAGTGGGAGGATATCTGGTTTTCTGGAAATTTGGGAAGACGGGAGCGATTGGAGGGCGACCCGCACCCACAGAAAGCACCGTCCGTGTGGAGACCTTACAGACTGGGACGTTACTCGGGGTGAATCGTAGGCTTGACAATGTCCTAGCTGCGTTAACGGTATTAGTGCGCAATATGGATGTCATCTCGGAGAGGGTCACCGGACGGTGTGGAGATGTTTAAAACCTAAATTGGCTTCACTGGAGGACTTGAATGATCAATTACAGACTTGAAGGCAGAGAGGAAAATTATCTCTGCCTGACCCAAACAAAGTCGTGTTATCCGAATCTGACGCCATGGCAGCCTTGTGATGGCAAAAACAACCCACCCCCATGAAGGAATGCAGACAGATGCTGTGAAAACCCAACCCCCCTACCCCCCCCCCCCCCCCCCCCGCCTTCGGATTGGTGGACTTCAGCCTGGCGAGGTCATCAACCTACAGGTGTCAATGTGCTCTTCGCTCCTCCCAAGATCTCCCTCCCACCTGTGGCTACAGTGGCTGAGTGCCATACAGGGCTGCTCTCGCTGGGGAAACAGGATCCCAGCACCCCCCCCCCTCCCCGCACCCCTTCCTGTCGGAGTCTCATGTTGTGAACTGTGACTGTGTTTCTTTGCATAGTAAAGCTACGACCTGCCGGGAGTAACTCTGGTATGCCTTTTTTTCCCTCCCCCAATATATCCTCATGTAATTCCCTTTTCATCTAAATGAAATGAGCGCCGTTCATGGTCGCTCTCGTGGTCTGCCTGTATCTGTTTTGTCTACGTGTGTGTGTGTAACTTTGGTCAGGCTGTGCTGCGGAGTCAAGTTCCTATGCTCTGGGTCGCTGGAGCGCTGGCAATAAAGCTTTTTCTGATTCTGATTCTGATGTGGTAAGTAGCAGCTACGTTAGGGAGAGGAGATTATGTGGTGACGTCACATATGCAATGTTCCGATTTCTAGTTTGTAGTCATGCTAATTACAAACTTTTACAAGCTGATAAATCTCAAAGTATGTGACTGGCATGGTCGAATTACCCATCATTACTTTTCATTTAAATTGCAGTACAACATATGTGCGATCCAGGGTCGAAGGCAAACAGGATTAGAAAATAGCGTTTTTAGCCCCGTTGACTTGCATTAATTTTTTCGTTCTTCCGGGGACCCATGATGGGACTTAGGCTCTCTTTTGTATTACTTTGCTGTTTTAAAAATGGTCTCTGATTGGTTAGTCCATCTATCTCTTCATTCTGCAGTAACTCGCAAGCGGGACATTATTTAAAGAGCGGGTCAACTGTGCCCCAGAGTCCTTCTCCACCCACGTATCAATTTAAAAAACTGCAACATTAATAGGCGTTGCCTGGCGGACCGAGAGGGCGGAGCCGCGGCAGTGACGAAGCCGATGGGTAACGAGACGATGCTAGCTCCCTTCACTCTGAGCAGTCATTAGAAGTGGAGGACGTTTCTCCCCCTCCTTACCCAGACACTCAAGAAGAAAGGAACCAAGTCTATTTGGAGGAGACAAGCGGACCTGAGCCTTATTGTTTTGAGCTTGTGAGTTGCCTGAAACTACCGGAACTGATCCAACAGAACCAGCTCTGAATGGTAAGTAGCCGTTAGCCATAGCATTAGATTAGCTGCAGGGTTTGGCTCCACGGCCCTAGAGAGCTAGAATTCAGCATGTTGATGTATCTGCTTCAACGCACCTGGTTTTAATCAGCAACAAATAGCTGAGCTGCTTAACAGCTAATCTAACCTGCTAAAGCAGGAAAACCACTGAAACGTGCTGGATAGCAGCTCTCCAGAAGCCCTGGGCTTAAGTTACAGTCTGCTGCAGAGAAAGTTATGAAAATACCCCATGAGAAAATTATTCTGTAATGTGTTCATTTATGTTACACAATCCCAAACAGCCCACTAAAACTGCTCTGATTTCATTATTTATTTACTGATACCAGCTGCTCTCTTGGTTGTAGGCGATCCTCTCGTGTCTGCAGGTGGTCTCCTCTGCTGGTGTCGTCAGGATCAGGAGCTTTCAGAATAATGTGCCTTTCAATAACTCTTTCCCCCTTATTTGTTATATTAATTAAATAAATCTCAATTTATATATTTCCTCTTTTTGTTCATGTCCATAAATACTTAAACATGCTTGAAATTAAAATGAGCTTTTAACAGTGAGGTGCTCGTTTAATTCATCACAACAGAGCTAGTTAAACATGCAACAATGTGATAATTAAATTAATGTAATTTATTAATATCCATTGAAATATCAAAACTGGAATCAAAATGAGATATTTGGCAGCACCAAAAACTTGTTAAACACAATTTTTATTTTAATAATTGTAGGCAGACAGGAGACAGAGCTGATGGAGGTTCTCAGTCATCAAAGGATGGCTGAAGGCTTTCCAGGAACAGGAGATGTGGTGTTGTCTAAGTTACAGGTGTGTGTGGACATCCTCATGCTGTCATAAACAAATGGCAGGAGTTATCAGGTGATCAGCCAGGCTAATGAAATCCAGTACAGTGTACAGTAATAATAATAATAATAATAATAATAATAATAATCTGTGGTGTTGCTCACCTTATGTGCTCTTATAGATTATTAACGTGTGCCTGCCTCATGGTGTAGAGTCCATATTTTGCTGAGTGTCCTGCAATAATGCAGGTTATTAGTTAATTTACTTTTGATAGCAAAGAACAAAATATTTAATGTAAAAGTTATTTACCAGGTGAATCAGCTCACACGTCACCACCAAGTGTCACAGGGGCAGAATCAGTAGCCTCCTTCATGATGTCATGATGTAATCACATACGTTTATGTAATTGTTAATATCTTAAAAATTCAGAAATGTTTTAATTTTTTTACCTTGAACAGTTCACTGAGCTTGCACTGTCACTGAGGTGGAAGCTGGAATCAACAGCAGACACCTCACATCTTGGTCTTTTCAGGGGTGTGGACGCTGCTCTGGGACTTTCTGGAAGATGAATTTCCGCCATGCTCTCTGAGGCTGTGAGCTCTACTCGGTGGCTATATAAAAAACAAAGAAACAGCACATTTATAAATGTTTAAAAGAGCATGAAATCACGTGTAACAATAATCTGTGAAACAAATTAAAACTAGAAGTTGATAATAAAATGTTTACATAGAAGATTATTAAAAAATAATTCACCTTTGCTACGCTGGTAAGGCTTCACGTCAGCCTGGACAAGTGCATTCTTGCAGACTACTAAATCAGTCTGACAGCCAACGTCTTGGGTAGATTTAGCCTGAAAAAAAAATAGAAGCACATTGTTGTTGGAGTTTATAAAGTCAGATAATATACAAAAGAAACTGTCAGATATAGGTGCTTTATAACATTCCTAGTGTGTGATCATTATTATAACGTAAAAGTCAGTCACGTATGATGTGGAGAGCCTGAAATGCGACCTGAACAGAATTCCTCACAGAACCGGGTCACGCTGTGGTGTAAAGCTGGATTTCACACTGTAATGCTGTCTGTCAACTAGTGCTGCGTTAGAGTCACTGTTGCAGAATTACCGAATGACACAAAAACAACCCGAATTTTCTCTGAGCCTGACACTAACAGTCATGTGGACCGTTTCATCGGCCAGGGCTTCGAGATATGTTCCGATTCGCCGCTGATTCTAACCTTACATCCCGTTCCACATTTTTTGAACTTGACAAATCAGCCCGTAGGCAGTGCAGACTATTCGCTAAATGAAGTGAATCACATCTCTCAAACTTTGCATTTAGGTAGGGTATTGTCTTTAGAAGATGTTAAAACTTTTATTTAGCTTACTCACCTCAGACTGGAGCCCGCCGTGGTGGGGGAGCAGAGTCGGTGGGCTGCATCTAAATCGTGGAAGAGCCACGGTGGGCACGGCCTCTTCAAACGACGTGCAGAATAACCCAGTTCAAACTTCGTCATGTTGGCGAAGGAATCACGGGTAAAACGCTGGTTGCAAACTACAGCACCAGGCGGGAGCTGACTGTTTTCCAGACACCGATTGCGCGCAACCGCTGGCGCCTAATTTCTAAGTCCAGCGGAAAGGAGTGCAACCCCACAGAGCAACCGAACCCACTATACTACACCTTCTCACCATACTAACACGATATGGAGCACTAAACTCGAACTACTTTCCTAATTACACTAACAGCCAAACACTAACTAAACTACAATATCCAACAGCCAAGCTAACAGTAAATAAGTATGTATCACACTAAAAGCTATGCTAAAGATTAGGATATGCTAATGCTAATGCTGAACTACCTCTAACCGTCCTACACTCGCTTGCAAATCCAACTCCCAACTCGCCACAAGGCGTGGCCGAAACTCTCGATGCTTTTATAACTTTGACACAGAGCTGCTACGTAGTACTCTACTGGTTTACGTAGTATATTTCTCTTTAGCAAATGGCTAAAGTGTATTCAAAATGACTCAAACTCTATGTTTAAAGCTGAAGGTGGCGCTATACTGTGGTATTTAGGCAGAATTTTAAATTTTTAAGGAAAATGCACCAAAATGCTAAAATAATGAATATACACATTTAAAACACTATTAGACACTCATTTATACAGTTCATCAGCAAAAAAAGTTAATTTAGACGTTACTTGCTCTTTAAAGGTATAGCGGAGAATCTTTTTCTTCTGGGTGTATCATCTGAATGTTTGGTTTGCATAACTGTCAATCATTCTGGTGAACCATTCACACAAGGCCGTCATCAAAGCCGTTGTTGTTGGGTAGTTTTCATTTCCTACGCAAGAGTGTTCTGCCTATGTGTTTAATGATATGCCTTCATTCTTTGCCGTTTTCACCATGTCAATTTTCTTTTGAAAATGGCTAAGAGTTGCAAGAGAAAAAGTTTCTTTGAAGTCTACAATAATAACAGAAAGGCTTCCGAAGTGAGTAATAAGATCAACGTTTTTTATTAGACTCTTTTCAATGATGGCGTGCGCTGAAAGCGAAGGTAGGGCTCCCCACAAACGCCTCTGTCGTCAGTTTTCTTCTCGAAATTAAGCTACAGTTCGGCATGTTATTTGGTGTAATTCCTTTTAGATTACTGCTAGAAGATAATATATTACAATACTTGTAAACAGAGTGTGCATCCTTTCAAAACTTGGAGAGGGTGGTTCTTTCCTGAAACTCAGAAACATCCTCCGCAATACCTTTAAATCCACAACACACTCGTGCAATGTACTAGACTGTCAATGTTTGGGAGAAAAACATATAGTGTTGGTCCCACGGTAGTTAAGATGCTCAGTTCATGACTGGAGTCATGAACAACTAACCAAAGAGGATGATTGAATATTGTGGTAATAATCCAACAGATTGATGGTATAATTTAGTGGCACCATGCTAAGCAGACACAGCCATTAAAAGAAAGCATGCAAGGAGTGATGCGTTTATCAGAGATAAGAGGGGATTAAAGGATATGAGGATTTAAAAGGAGAAAGAGGGTAAGAAAGGAGGGACATGAAGACATTCAAATGAACGGTATTCGTTTATAATCACAAGGTGATTCCTGACATGCTTTTCATGGGATGACATGTAATATTCAGCGTAATTACACGGGTACCGTTTAAATCCAGACCAGCAGTGGCGGACATAGTTGTAATTTTGCTAGAACGAATGCCACAAACTTCCTTTAAATTTAGCAAATAACCCTAAAATATGTATAGAATATAAATATCATCTTAGTACGTAAAACTCTTTAGACAACTTATACATTGTACAGATGGTTAGCTAGTTTCAGAAAATCCCCCTCCTACAACATCTTCCCTTTGTTGGACAGAAGGTGTCTGTTTCACTCATTTTCTGTGACTGTCTGAAACTGACAATCTGACATTCACACCCACTTCTCACCATAAAGTGAGGAAGGAGCTGTGTTCTGCTCTTCATTCATGTCTGCAGCACGTTTACTGTGTGAAACCCAATGCAACATTGTCAATATCCCAAAAGGAGGGAAGACTTTTTTTAAAAAAACAATCCTCTGATTATTCATGTTTTTAAATACTATCGCACAAAAGCCCCTCTTCCCCCTTGCCAGCTTTAACGCTGGATGTGATTTTGCATAAAATTATGTTTGGTCTAGCGTCTTTTTTCATTTCTAAGTTTTTAAGTTGCTTCATGAGGTTGCAGCGGCAACAAGGTTATGGATGCAAAGCAATTCATCTGTTCATAGCAACATAAATCCTTGTAAAACTCTTAGATTCGTTGAAAGAAACTAACTAGAAGTAATCAACATGAGTTTGTGTTGTAGCCTTTGTTCTCTCTAAGCTGCAGGATATTTCAATCATTGCCACAGAGGTTATAGCTAATGAAAGAAACACTCATTCCCTGAGCAAGCCAGGCTTTTCAACAATAAATACAATTTATAATAAAAGACATTGAATGTTGTATTAGAGGTTTGTGGTTATGCCGCTGGTTTCTAATGGGCTGAGTTGGCCTTTGGATAAACATAGCTAATGGAAAGCTTTGCTAACATGGCAAGCAAACATGACTATTTAATCAAACAGCATTGTGCACCAATATTTGATCAACTGGGGTTCTTTGTGTTTTTTCCGTCCACCAATTTCCATCCATTTATGCAGGTAACAGATACAGGAGGAACATAGATATTTTGATTTCCTCCAATGTGATACCAAAGTTGCAAGACCCAAAACAATAAAGAACTCCATTGGTGAGTCTGTCTCAGGGTCTCTTTCAGATGTTTGGAAAACTCCGTGAGAAGGTTGAGCATTCCCCAATCCCCTTCAGCTGGCCAATGTTGAAAAGCACTTGTTCTGCTCTGTGTTGCTGACCTTATGCTACAGCTAGAGCCCGGTGTATGTATACTACTTATAAGGCCCCCTGTCATTAAATAAGAAAAACGAAACATTTTAGGTTAGTAACGCCACATGTCTCCTATCATACATACATTTTAAACATTGTCTGTGCAAAATGACAACTACTTTAATTGAAGTTAATAACAGGACAAGTGCCATATTTATTTTGTCTCCAACAGCAGCTGAATCTCACGCTAAGGGGTGTGTGTTGGTTAGTAATGCATTTTCTCTCTATAAAGTAAGTAAGTAAGTAAATTTTATTTATATAGCACTTATCACAGACATAGAATCACAAAGTGTCTCACATAGATCAAAACAAAATAAAACAGTCGTAAAATCATAATGATCTCAAAACAGAAATAGATTCACATCAGAAAAAATAAAGTCATACAATTATAAAATTTCATAAACAGATGAAAGATTTTTACAAATTTGAGTTAAAAATAAGACAAAAAATGTTTAGGTTAAATCAGCTTTAAATAAAATAGTCTTTAGCTGTTTTTTAACAGTGTTCAGACTGTCAATGCTGCGCAAGGATGAAGGAAGCTCATTCCAAAGTCGGGGTGCAACAGTCTGGAAGGAACGATCCCCTCGAATTTTATATCTGGTCTTTGGAACTTCTAGAAAGTTCTGGTGTGCGGACCTGAGGGCTTAGGTTGGAGCATAAGGCTTTAACAGTTCAGTAGAAGAAGAAGAAGAAGAAGAAGAAGAAGAAGAAAATTTCTATAGCGCCTCTCAAGATAAAAACCACGAGGCACTTCACAAAAACGAAAAATGTAAAAACATAAAAAATAATTTAGAAAATGGTTAAAAATATATTTAAAATGAGAAACTAATTGACAATTGTGATTAAAACATGTTAAGAAAGAGAGAGAGTGACTAGGAAAGAGGGAAATCAGTGGATCCTGAGGAAGGTAGAATAGGTGGGGAATGCAGAATAAAGAGAGAGTGGTGAAGAAGGTCATACAAAAGCCAGCTTGAACAAGGGAGTCTTCAGCTGCTTTTTAAAGGAGACCACTGAGTCCACTGATCTCAGGCTCAGGGGGAGAGAGTTCCAGAGTCTGGGGGCCACAGCAGCAAATGATCTGTCACCTTTGGTCTTTAGCCTGGTGCGCTGCACAATCAGTAGGCTTTGATCACTGGACCTCAGGGACCTGCTGGGGGTGTAGGGACTAAGAAGATCACCAATGTAAGATGGTGCTTGTTCATGTAAGGCCCTGTAGACCAGAACCAGGATCTTGAAATGAACTCTGAAGTTGACTGGCAGCCAGTGAAGCTGGAGAAGAAGTGGGGTGATGTGGGTGTGTTTGGAGGACTTCGTCAGAAGCAGAGCACAGGCATTCTGAACCACCTGTAGACAGTTCAGGGAGGTTCTGCTCAGACACGTGAAAAGAGAGTTACAGTAGACTAAGCGTGAGGAGATGAAGGTGTGGATATCTGTCTCAAGTTCAGAGCGGGACAGAATGGGACTCAGCTTTGCAATGTTCCTGAGATGGAAGAAGGAAGAGCGAACAAGAGAACTGACATGAGAATCCAGGGTGAGAGCTGGGTCAAAGGTCACGCCAAGATTGCTGACTGAAGGTTTGGTGTGAGAAGCAAGCTGACCAAGAGAGTCTCTGACTTTGGGAACCAACTTGTCTGGGTCACAGATGAGGATCTCAGTCTTCATTCAGCTGTTATAAGCTCCCAGCCATCCAGGTTTTAATAGAGTCTAAGCAGGTGTGTAACAGCTGCAGCTTAGACATCTCATGGGGCTTAAAGGAGATGTACAGTTGGATGACATCTGCATAAAGATGGTAGGAGATTCCTTTGAAGGAGCTCAGCATGTGCTGAAGAGGAAGCAGATAGAGGAGGAAGAGCAGAGGCCCCAGCACAGAACCTTGTGGGACACCATGGGCAAGGGAGGTGGTGGAGGACCTAAACTTGGAAACTGCCACAGAAAAGGAATGCTCAGAAAGATAAGAGGAGAACTACTCCAGAGCAGTTCCTGATAGGCCTACCCAGTCTCTCAGCCTCTCCAGTAGCAGGTGATGGTCAACAGTGTCAAAGGCTGCAGTCAGGTCCAGCAATAGCAGTAATACAGGGAGGAGCTTGATCATGTAGAGCATTGAAAGTTAGTCAGGATTCTAAAATGAACTCTAAGTTAGCGGGTAACCAGTGCAGAGACATTATAATAGGAGTGATGTGTGCTCTTCTGTTTGCTCCAGTTAGGAGCCTTGCTGCAGAGTTCTGGACCAACTGAAAGAGGTCAAGGGCTTTTTTTGTTAAAACATGAGAAACGTGTGTTACAGTAATCTAAACGGGAGGAGATAAAGGCATGGAGAACCACTTCAAGCTCATGTTTTGACACCAGCCTTCTCAGTTTGGAGATATTTCTTAAGTGATAAAAACTGTTTCGGACCAATGGTTTTGAGTGACCTTCAAGGGACATTGATTGGTCAAAAATAACACCCAAATTCCTTAAGTTCGTCTTGACAGCAGAGAATAAATGACCAAGTTTTAGATCAATCAGGGGAACCATATATATGGCAGTGAAAAATATATTAACATTTTCAGATGAGAAAATCAAGCTTTGGGTGAAAATTCTCTTTTTTGTTTAGTTGTTTGTTAGCTGTCTAGTTACATACAGCTACATGCTGTGAAGAAAACGTATGTTCACTGCACAGGGCAAATTTCTACTTTGCATGTTGTGCTAAATAAACTAAAATATTTTAAAAACTGTACCCCAGATTTGTTATATTTTGTGAGAGAGAAGAAATAGCTGCATAGTTGGATGTATGATATGTGTCGTCCTCTATTTATTTCTACATAGAGAACTAGTCTGGTTACTCACAAGCAGAGAGGCACATTAAGGTCGGAACAAGCCAGGTCAAAAATAACAAACTCAGCTTCAGACACCATCTTCGTGTTTTATGAGAAACTGAGCATCCCAGTGTGTGGCATACGTTGCTCAGCGCTAACTGGCTCGGTTAGAATTCTTAGGGGTGGGGTTATTTGAATAGTAGAGTTCCCAGCCCATGCTTCCCATAAGAAAGCATGGGCCTGGCTGGCCAGGCTATAATATGTGAACATTGTGTAAAGGTTGTGTCATTAAAAACTTGAAAACCAATACCAATATTAATTGTAGGTAATGATATCGGCAGATACTGATAACAGCGGACATCCCTGTTTAGACAGTAAATGGCCTGTATTTGGAAAGCACCTTCTTAGAGTTTTCCCCAAAGCACTTCACAACACAGTCATCCACCCACTCACATGCCGGTGAAGATGAGCTACAGCGTAGCCACAGCTGCCCTCGGGCACACTAACGGAAGCGAGGCTGCCGAGCACAGGTGTCACCGGTCTCTCCGACAATCACCTGCAGGCAAGGTGGGTAAAGTGTGTAACATTTTGTAAGTGGTCGCAATTAATGGTCAATGAAAAATGAAACATATTCATAACATTATGAATCATAAATATTATTGAATCTTTAATGTCCAATTGACAATGGAACAAGGAAATTTGGGTATGCCTGGGAACCACCACTTACCAATAATCTGACACAGAAGCAAAAATATAGTTAATGTTATTAAGAGTCTAATTAAGTGTCTTAGGAAAGACTGTGAAGTCAGGGTTTAAAAGAATAATCTGGCTGAATTTAGTGATGTTTGATTAGTTACCAAATTAATCTTAGCCCTGGGGGCGGATGAGATTCGTCCTGGGTATCTCAAGGCTATGGACGTTGTAGGGCTGTGGTGGTTTACACGTCTCTGCAACATTGCGTGGTCATCGAGGGCAGTTCCTGTGGAGTGGCAGACTGGGGTGGTGGTCCCCATCTTTAAGAAGGGTGACCTGAGGGTGTGTTCCAACTATAGGGGGATCACACTCCTCAGCCTCCCTGGAAAGGTCTACTCCAAGGTACTGGAGAGGAGGGTCCGATCGATAGTTGAATCTCAGATTGAGGAGGAGCAGTTTGGTTTTCGTCCTGGCCGTTGAACTGTGGACCAGCTCTATACCCTTGCAAGGGTGATGGAGGGGCATGGGAGTTTGCCCAACCAATCCACATGTTTTGTGGATTTGGAGAAGGCTTATGAATGTGTCCCCAGGGGCACCCTGTGGGGGACACTCCAGGAGTATGGGGTGGGTGGCTTTCTGTTAAGGGCCATTCAGTCCCTTTACCAGAGGAGCGTGAGTTTGGTCCGCATAGCCGGTAGTAAGTCGGACCTGTTCCCAGTGAGGGTTGGACTCCGCTAGGGCTGCCCTTTGTCACCGGTGCTGTTCATTACCTTTATGGACAGAATTTCTAGGTGCAGCCGTGGTGTGGAGTGTGCCGACTTTGGTGGCAGGAGAATCTCGTCTCTGCTTTTTGCGGATGATGTGGTCCTCCTAGCTTCATCCAGCTCTGACCTTCAGCTCTTGCTGGGTAGGTTCACGGCCGAGTGTGAAGCGGCTGGGATGAGGATCAGCACTTCCAAATCTGAGACCATGGTTCTCGACTGGAAAAGGGTGGCTTGCCAACTCCGGGTCGGGAGCGTGAGGGTAGGAGGGATCGGGAGATCGACAGACGGATTGGTTCAGCATCTGCAGTGATGCGGACGGTGAGCCGATCTGTTGTGGTGAAGAGGGAGCTGAGCCAGAAAGCCAGGCTCTCGATTTACCGGTCGATCTACTTCCCAATCCTCACCTATGGTCATGAGTTTTGGGTAATGGCCGAAAGAACGAGATCGCAGATACAAGCGGCCGAAATTAGTTTCCTTCGTAGGGTGGCCGGGGTCAGCCTTAGAGATAGGGTGAGGAGCTCGGACATTCGGGAGGGACTCGGAGTAGAACCACTGCTCCTCCAGATCGAAAGGAGTCAGTTGAGGTGGTTTGGGCATCTGGTCAGGATGCCTCCTGGATGCCTCCCTGGGGAGGTGTTTCGGGCATGTCCTGCCGGCAGGAGGCTCCCGGTTCGACCCAGGACACGTTGGAGAGGTTACATCTCCAACCTGGTCCGGGAATGCCTTAGGGTCCCGCCGGAGGAGCTGGTGGAGAAGGCCGGGGAGAGGACGGTCTGGAGCTCCCTAGTTGGGATGCTGCCCCCCTGACCCGGACCCGGATAAGTGGAGGAAGACGACGGCGACGATACTAACCCATCCTTTGCCAGTGTGCAGAGCTACGATAGGGTTAGGGTTAGGGTCGTGTGATGACATTGTTCTCGGAGATCCAGCTTGCAGCAAAGTCGTCTGAACCAAGCGAGATGTTTTGATTTATGGGGTATCAAAGATTGTAGTACCTTTGAATCTGCATGTCTGGTCAAAAGATACCCTCTGGTACTTCTACTGGAAGCTGGCGGGTTGTTTTTGTCAGGTAGCAGGAGCTGGACCCAAAAACAAGGCTCAAAAACGGGGAGGTAAAAGGCAAAAATTCTTTATTAAGTACAAGATCAAAAACAGGTAGTCAAAAAATTCCCTACAAATAAAATCCAAGCCAACTGGCGAAAGGGTAGAGAGAGTGAGCTAACACTAATCATGGCTGGTACGAAGTGCTAGGAGACAACAACGAACTGGCAACTGAATTGAGAACAGAGAGAGGCTAAATACAGGTAAACACAGCTGGGATGAATCGGGTTAACAAAGGTCAGGAAGCGCCACAGAGGAGAGAGAAGGATGTCAAAATAAAACAGGAAACAAAGGACTGGTCTCATTGGTGGTGACAGAAAACCCACTCATGCACACAGAGACCATGCTAACTCCATGCAGAAAGGCCACAGCTGGGATTCAGACTGCGACCTTCTCGCTGTAAGGCAACAGTGCTACCAACTGCACCACTATGTAGCCGCAGATACTTCATGAAACTTGTGAACATTTTCTATGCAATTCTGCATCCTTCTGCAATGAAATACTGCAAATGAAACATCACAGTCACAATGTGCGTTCAATTTATGGTCTTGTAGGGTCGGATTTAACATGAGAATGGAGTACACTAGATTAATCCACTCCACTAATCCCGAGGCAACAAAGGGCGGAACATGAATGGTGCACAGTTGCAGGTTTTTAGTAGTCTAGATTATTTCTCTTGATGCCAAATTTGGCTTAAACAGTCGTCAGCAGGGAGGATGCAGCAACAATGGTGAAGTGGGGTTTAGGGTAGGAGAGCCTGGCAGGCACTGTGAGGGAATTTATTTTATTTTCTAATAGATGGATGGAAACACAATGGGAAAATAGAATGCAAATGGGGAAAAAGGGATGATAAATGATTTTATGCATTTTGATATAAACAAACCCACATGATCCGACCTGCAGGGAGGCAGAATTTTTAGCCTTCAGCTATAATCATTCAGATTATGTGCTTTGCATCTTTTGTTGTCGTCTCTTCTGTGTTTTTCGGGTTGGGAATAGTATGCCAAAACACAATAACCACCCCTCAATTTGGGTACTGCGGCAGGGTTCAAAAGGCTAAAAGCACATGACTTCTGATTTTTTCTTAAAGTGACAATGTGTAGTTTTTACTATTAATCACTGGAAACATCCATCGGAATGTTGTTGAAATGACTTCAAATATCCCCAGTTGTTGAAAAATCTTGGCAGTTTTATAACATATAACCATAAAAATCTGTTCTAAAATACATGGGAGCGGATCTACGTCTCTGGGCGACGCCATATTAGATGTCATGTTTCCTGCTATGGAAGCCTGTGTGGACAAAATGCATTTACTGATTTGTAACAAATGGTTACAAAATTTTCACCATTAATAAATGTTGTTTTACACATTTACCTCTTCACTCATTTTCAGTGATGAAAGGCAATCTGATGTTGTTGTTATTTTGCTGGAGGTTGTGCTCCCAGAGATTTTTTCACCCTAATGGCCATCCGTTGGTAAGGTCTTATTTGAACACAAAAGTAATGCTTGCTTGCAATCATTTAGGTACGCACTGCCCCCTATCAGCAGGGAAAATACACACCGTCACTTTAAGGCCAAAGAAAAGGGTCAAATGAAATAGAACAACCACTTTACTAAAGTATGTAGATCACATTTTGCATCAGTACTGCATTTTCTCCTCATTTCAATCAGTCTGCAATCTATATTTTCATTCAGTTTTAATACAACTTTTGCCAAAAATCTGGATGTATTGTCAGTTATTAAAAGGCATTGTTGTGCCAAAACAACTCATCTCTGTGACGATATCACCAAAACAAATATAAGAGCTTATGATTTTATTCCAGCCGCCTAATTGGTGGGGTCACCCATAAACAGCAAACAGCCTCGGCTGTACAGTACTTGCAGAGCTGCAGCCTTTCATCTTGTAGATATGCCATGCAATCATATCATGCTATTCACAATGGTAGCAGTGGCAGTTTTGCTGTTTCTCAATTTGAAACGGCCTGTTCAGAGTGATTTTCTGGTGTGGAATGTTTCTTAACTTGGCCAGAGAGAGTTGTGCCATGACAAAGGGCTGTGTGACAATGGGTGTAGATGTTAGGACCGTTGCAGGACCGTGGTTTGGTGTTGGGTCTTCTAAAATGGAAAGAGTTTTTCCGTATTTACTAAAATACAAGGAAGTCTTATTAAGTAAGTGACAGAATTGGTCGAGCTTTAGCAGAGGTTCCTAGAGTACATCTGGCTAAGGCCAAAAGATTAAGAAATGACACGGATATTAAATATTCTAAAAATACAGAAGGAGATTATGTCTGTTTGAAAAGTTTTCACCATGGTTCTACCTTTTTAGATTACAAGATCTTCATTGTCATTTAGTTTTTAACCAAACAGATTATTTCCGCAGTTTGGATTTATTGTATCTGCTACTTGGTGAAAAATGTCTTAAAGTCCATCTTTATCTTTGCACTGTGTATTAAATAATTAATGTTCACGTTACTCAATTGATAAAGAAAAGTTCCCTTGTTGGGTCAAGGAGAATATAGCCACGTTCAAAGGGCACACGTGGTCACGTATTAGGGTAATACCGCTGCCACGGTGTGCCCGTTGAAATGGTGCCATGGTGGCATTGCGAAGCTGGAATATTGCGCCATTCTTGCCGCCAAGCTTGATATTGATTTTACTACAACATCAGACTTTTGAATGATCATGCTTTCGCACAACATAGGATGATGTCATGATCAAGTGTGAAATGTCCGCTGAGTCCCGGGAGGCGACCGTATTTAATCGAGTCCCTTTCGCATTCGTAAACAGTGTCAGCTGAGACGGCTGACTGGAGTGGTGCAGAGACCCAGGAACCTCTGGCCAAACCAGACAGTTTACATGGATTGTAAAGGACAGCCACCTTTTGAGCAGCTCGTGAAAAAAATTAAGGAAGATCCTTAAGATACTGAAAGGTTAAAAAAGACCAGTTCCACACCTTCTTTTAACCTGCAATCCTTTGTGAAAAACACAATCGTGCCACGTTGTCGCCACGGACTGAACATCTATGAATGACCAGAAGCTCTTTGTGGCAAAGTGGCGAGATTGTTTACAGATGTGTTAGTTCACTGCTCACACGTTAAGTGACCAGCCAGCACCGTGTCCAGAGACAAATCCTACAGGGTAAGGACTAATTTCTAATAAGTTGATTTTACAACAGTATTTACTGTTAGAACATCTTCTGGGCTCAGAATCAGCTGCTTGACTTGTCAAGTCTGCCAACGGAACTTTAAGACAGAGAGGAAATTATCTCTGTCTGGCCCCAAAACAATTTCTAATCAGAATCTGGTGCCCTTGAGCCTGTAAGGCTGCAACGAATACTCCCCCTCAGAAGAAATGTGGAATGCTGCCATCGCTATGGCAACTCTGTCTCCTATCCCAGTCTGGGCGGTACTGCAGGCTGTGAAGGCCGCCAAATTGTTCCAGGAGTCACTGTGCACTACTAACCTCAACGACCTCCTTCCCCTGTCCAGACTGATGTGAAGTGCGCTGCTTATCGTGGCTGCAGGAACTGACGTGTGGAGAGTCCCAAACCCACCACCCCACCTAGTGGACACTTATGTTGTGTGATGTCTGAAGTCTGTTGAATTTCTGTTTGTGTTTTTTGCATAGCAAAGCTGCCCTCCCTGTGGAGGGTAACTCTGAAGTGCCTTTTTTTTCCTCCACCCGAACCTCATGTAACCCTTTGATTTCTATTAAGGTAGCGCGACTCGGGGTTGCGAATGACCACAGTCACCAATTCTTGTCATGTGTCTTTGTCTATGTATGTCTGATCTCTGAATTGTGTTTACTGAAACTCTAATTTCCCTCTGGCATTAATAAAGTATCTTTGAATTTGAATTTTACACAGTCCCAGGGTGTTTCTCAATTCCAAGGAACCTTGCCTTGATGTCTTGGCCCCGCCCCGGTTGCTTAGGAGATACGTCATCAGGAGCCACCAAGACGTGTCCAACGTTCATGTTCTACCGAAGCGAGTGTTCTCCATTTGTTAGCCGATTACCTAACTGAGCAAGGATACACGGAAGGTGTCTTGTCGCCTAGCCTTGGTCAAAAATTACCCAGAATACACCGCAGTATTTTCAAAAGGATGGCGAGTCAGAAACCAGCAGCTACTTCAGAGACAAATTTCAAGTTCAAAAATAAGTCAACTAATTTAAAATGTTTTTTTTTAGATCCAAAGAAGTTATTTATGGTTGGTTGGTTGCTTATTAGTTGCAGCTTCTGTGGCTAGAGCTGCTAGCGGGCAGTAACTTGCATATATATTTGATTTAACACATATATACACAATTTAAAAAATAAAAGGTTCTTTATATATTTATATTGAAACTAATATGTATAAAATATAACGTTATCTCCCGTGTCACGTGACGTTATGTGACCACCATGGAAACTGCGGTCACGTGTGCAAGTCTGTTCCATTTAACTGTTTTCTTTGACCAAGGAAGAACAGTGTCCTCATAAGCGAGAAGCCTGGCCTTGCAAGACATCGCCTCGCGAGGCCAGGTGCCTTGACATTATATAAGTAAACTTTACTTACTTACTTACTTACATTGAGAAACACTGCCAGCCTTACTTTGCCGAGCGGACTTTTTAGCGTAACGGAGCCCTCTAGTGGCTGATAGATGTAAAGATAAACCCAGTGACGTGCCCAACAACATTTAAATTTGATTATTTATTTATTTAAATATAATTTTTAAAGGAAAACTGTACATTCACTCTGCACACCTCTAAACACCTAGTGGTGTTTTTCTTTTTTTTTTAATATAGCTTTTTATTCCACATTTCACCTTTAAGTTTGTTTGGATGTATGATTTTTACCACCAGCTGCAGCCCTTCAGTCTTGAACTTGAATCGCGTTAAAGTAATGTTTATGTTTACAACAGACTCTCAGTATTTCTGTTGTTATTATGATTAATGGATTTAGCCTTTTTCTGCTTTTCAAGTACCCATCTGTGGCTGTGGGTCCTCAAAGCACTGAGGGGGTTTAATAGAGAGTATAAGTGGTCTGGGTGTTTTCATCAAATAGCTGAATTACATCGATTCATTCAGCAAATACAAAGCACCACATTGTGTTCTCACATTTTTAACAGTCAACCAGCATCCATCCAGGTGACTAAAAAAAAAGTTCAAGCATTCATATTTTTATAACAAATTTATTGTAAATATATAAATTGATCTTTTGTACAGAAATTGCGAAAGAGAAAACATCAAAATTAGCGACAGATAAAGAAAGAGAGAAGCAGGAGCCAAGATTTGTGTCCGTGAGTCCCAACCGTCGTCTGGTTTTTTCCCTTTTGGTGTCTAAACGTTATGAAACCAGAGGGAAGCAAGTCCCTTCAGGTTTGAAAAGGACACAATTACAGGACTTTGGTTGGAAACAATGGTGGTGCTTTTCAGCTCCAGCGTTTAAAGACCAAAGGTTACAAACATCACTGCAAAAAGAAAAATATCTGGAATGATAAAAAGAAAAGAAAACGTAAGGTCTGTCATGTTTCTCTACTGTGTAATCAGATAAATTGCTAATACCATTTCAGTGATTACTTTATTGTACTGGGTTGTGATCTGAGGACCTGTTAATATCGAGGGACTTTTGCTGCTGATTTTCTGCTGTGAAACAGGCCTTTTAACTAAGGCCAACAAAATTAGAAAAATAATTGAATGTTTTTACCACAGTCAAATTAATGTGATTAGGCAACACATTTGTTGTTGGAGGTGAGAGGGGCCGACAGCGCCAAATGGCAGCCTCGCCTGACAGACCGCCCCAGGGCAGCTGTGGCTACAAAGTAGCTTACCATCACCAGCAGTGTGTGAATGTGAGAGTGCATGAAAGCGTCTTTGAGTGTTAAGCACTGTATAAGTTCAATGTATTGTTATTAAATTTCAAGGGTTGGACTTACAGCTATAAAACTTTTGTATTCTACAATCTTAGCTTTTATTTCACAGTGTTTGATGAACATTTGTGAGATCTTAGAATCAAGAACTCAGCAGAAGTCAAATCAACTACTGCCAGTTGAGCAGTGATTTCATTAATGGTTAAAAACGGAGGTGATCATTAGACGCTTTTGTCTGCAGAACCTCCAAGACACTTTCTGCTAACGGGCAAATGCAACAGACATCTAATTTCCTCAGTAAGTTGAGAGTACCCCCCCCCCCCCCCCCATGCCATCTTTCAGCACAGTGACAGTTGTTTTTCGGACGCTGCTGAGTTTTAAATCTCTAGCTCTGTCAAGGCCAATCATCCTGCTCTAAGGCTACCACAGAACTCAGCAGTGTGTTTGGAATAGCAATGAGCATGCGGCCGCCGCTATCCACGAGGGCAGAAAGCATTAACATTGATCTAAATGACGAGACCCTGACACTGAATTGCATCTGGTTGTGTCACGTGGAACCCGTTGAGCGAGTTTCCCTGGCCCGGTTCTGGGGGTCAGAGAAACGAAGGCTCTGAATTACAGATTAGCCTCCAGCGCTAATGAAGAGGAATTGACTTATCTCATTACAGAGCAGTTTTTCTTAATCAAAAATAAGCTTGGAGACAGGCTGATTTACCATTAGCCACACTGACAAGATGATGGCCAGGATTTCCATAAAGGTCAATCCATTTTATTTTCTCTGTAATTGATACAAAGGGGCCTCTTTAGCATTTGTCTGGGAGACAAATACCTCTGGTATTACTACAGCAGAAAGTAATCCTGGCTTTAATGTAGGGCTTGCTTTCATTGCGTCAGCTAAGCTACACCGGGTGTTACAATCAAGTCACAGCTTCTTTTCTCCTAGAATGCATCACTTCAAAATTAATTTTATCTACTTGTATTGAATTTTGGTCTCTAATGGCTCACCTTTGTCTCATATGTTAGTCAGGTTGAGTCACACTCTGTACCATTAAAGAAAAAGTTGGAGAAAAGACCAATTAACCATTGACGGAAAAGATGAATTCGATAATTTGTCAGTTAGACATCGATCATGCGTGAACGAGAGGCGTTCTGGGGGACATGTTACGAAAAACTGTGATTTTAGATGTTTCTCCAGGACTTCAGTTTCGAGGAACATATTAGGTTTGAATGCAAATACAAACTTTCATGTAGGCTGAGAAGGAAGTATTGATAAAGGGCTGCCAACTATCCTTTAATCCCATCTGCAATGTTCCTATTCTGTTTTTCAATGAGCTCTGCTTCGTATGTTTGATTTGTATAAAACTCAACAAATCTGCTTTGCTTATCCTATACCTGTCTGTGACTTGATGGAGAATGTAAATACTGCAGGTGGAAAATATCCATTTATTTCAGCCAATTTTTAAAGGTACCAAGTACGAGTGACACCCTGTGGCCAAATTTGGGTACTGCAGTCCATGTTTTAAAACGAATGAGGACTTTTTCAATGCAACCTTTCTTCTAACATGACATAATTTATTTGACTGTAATGTTTGAAGTTATTGTACCTTTAAAGAGACAATGTGTAGTTTTTACCATTACTTTCTGGAAATATCCATCAAAATGTTGTTGAAAATTAATGAATTGATGCCCAATTTTAGAAAAATATTGGCGGCTTTGTAACATATAACCATGAGAATCAGGCCTAAAATACAAGGGAGCGGGCCAAAGGCCACGTTCACACTGCAGGCCTTGATGCTCAATTCCAATTTTTTTGATAAAATCAGATTTTTTTTTGTGTGTGGCCGTTCGCACTATGACGGAAATGTGACATCAAACTCTTTCCAGTGTGAACGCTCCGCGGCACCAAAGCGACCCGCATGTGCAGAAGACAAGAAGTTACACTCAGTGGAGCCGAATCCAGGAGCGGCAGAGTTAGGAATATGATCCTGATCCTGTGGATAAACTGTCAGTGAAAACTTTCACCTGTTAATTCTTCCGTTTTTGGCTGGAAACTGTTTTAAAAACTGTAAACTATTTTACTCTTTGTTCCCGCCGTTTCCCTAAATTATTATTCACCGAAAATTTTCCGGCATTTATTCATTCACGGAGAATCGCCCTCTCAAGGAGACCCCTCCCACTCCTCCCTTCACGGAGACGGAGGCAAGTGAAATGCTTCCCGCAGCACCTCCCACTCATGCTCATCTGTATTTCTAATTTTAAAACCTAAAACAGGATATCCAGACAAATTCCTGAACCCTTCTGTCAGCGCTTCTCCTCAGGAACATCCACATATGACGCTCACCTCTGCTGACTAAAGAGACGGATTTAATGCGCCATGACCGTTCAGACTGCAGTCGCTTTCAAAAACATCAGATATGTGTCGGAATTACTACATATTCACGTGACACGGATCGCATTTAAAAACATCAGATCTGTGCCGTTCAGACTGTCATAAAAAACAAATCAGATATGGGTCACACGTGGGGAAAAAAGCGGATTTAATGTGCTTTTGCCTGCAGTGTGAACGTAGCCTAAGCCTCTGGGCGACGCAACATTAGACACCATGTTTCCTTCTGTGAGAGCCCAAGAGGACAAAACACATTTACTGATTTATAACAAATGGTTACAAAACTTTCATCATTCATAATTGTTGTTTTACACATTTGCCTCTTCACTTCCTGCCGCTGTTGAAAGGGAGTCTGATGTGCTCCTTATTTTGCTGAAGTTTGCACTCCCCAGTGTGTTTTGACCCTAATGGGCTTCTGTTAGTAAGGTCTTACTCCAACACAAAAATACTGCTCCCTATCACCAGAAAAAATACACATTATCACTTTATCTAATACAGTTCAAATAAAGACATAAAATACATGCAAAGAAAATGTTAAATTCCTGAAAGATTTTTTAATTTAATTAGTAGCCTGTTAGAAAGTTTAGTTATAAGAAAATGCTTGGACCCCATTTTTGCTCTGCCCTGTCCAACTAGCTTACCTTTGTAAATTTTGGGAACAGGCACCCACATCGTAAAATAATTACAATCACAAATATTTCATATGGTGGTTCTTATTATTGCATTCACAAACTTTTATTCTATCACCATTTCCCCCTTTTAACTGGTTCTTTTAAAATAAATCTGTACTTGGATGGGCTAACTGCAGCAGCGTCTACTGCAGGATTAACAACAATAATCTATATTTCTCCAAACTGAGGTGGTTCAACACACTAAAAAAAACACGTTAAAAATCTCAACTATCCATTTAAACCCAGAAGAAGGGGATGAAAAATCACTCATTTAGCTAACAGCGAGAGCGCCACAGCTCAGGGAGGAGCTGCTGATGCTGCAATAATTCACTTCTAACTGATGGATTGAGATTAGCTTCAGAGCATCACATCATTCACACACACACACTCTCTCTTCTTAAGTTGTGATATGTTTTTTAATCAGGAGGAAAAAAGCTGAATCGGGAGAGAGAGAACGAGCTGCTGTGACATGGCCACGCTTCCAGCCAAGAGTAGACATTCTCATATCTGACACTGAGAATAATCTGTGGAAACCACTGAGCAGATTGAATCTAAGCAACCAAAATATACTAGCCCTATCTTTCCACACCCCCACCCCCTGTCAGCGGCTTCGAGTGTTGGTTTAAAATCCCTCAAATGAGAGTCATTTGGCAAGACACACACAGAGAAAAAGAGCAAAAAAGAAAAAAGCAAAAAACTGGATGTTGAAATTAAGATACTTGACGTCTTAGTCTTCACATTTTTTGTTCACTCTTTGTACACAACAATATATATTTTTTATATTTCAAACAGAAAAAAGAAATTAAGAAAATAAAAATACAGGAATCATGCAAATATATATTTTTTTCTTTAATGTGGTACACAAAGTTAAGCTTCCCTTGTTCTTAAACCTTTAAGTACTCAAAGTTGAGTCATTCGATTTCAATCCAAAAACCAAAAAATAAACAAACAGAAAATCCTAAATAGCACACTTGACAGGCTTCGTAGAAAACATTAATAGAAGTTATTTAACATTGCTTTTATCTTTTAGATCTTCTTTACAAAATTCACAGATATTTCACAGATTAAGTCTTTTGTACCATCTTTGGAAGGTGGGTCCAGTCAGGTGGCCAACCTTTAGCCCAACCTGGCTCACTTTCAAGATTTTCAACCACTCTTCAGCTCAGAAATATGGTTATTCAACATGAAGCAAGCCTAACTTATTCTAATAGAAGTAAGCACTAAAAAGAGATGATTCTATTTCAGCATTATTTTTGGCAGTCAGGAATGACACCATGGCAGTGCTCAGCCCTTTAGAATCATAACCAAGAAATCATAACAAGCAGGACATTTCGTTACAGCTAACTTCCTTTTTCATTACTTAGTTTAGTAGTTTCACACGACAGACAGACACACCAAAAAGGCATGTATTACATTTTATAACACAAACCTTTCATTGTGAATACAGTTTTCACTCATCAAAAATGGCACATAATCCACTCGGGCTAATTTCCCAACAGGACGCCAATAGACTCAACACACCTTTGGACAAAAGGAATAAAGAAGCCAAATGAAAGGCTTTGCAGCCGACTGTCAGCGCTGGCACCTGTTTTAAATGAAGCTGTCCTAAAAGCTCCAAAGGAGAGCTGCTTTTAATTGTTTGATTCCACAGATCCGTTATCAATAATGTTGCTGGGTTATGAATGCGTGCGTTCATGCATAACAGCTGATCTGAAGTGATGGGCCGGTGCATGCATGGTACTGTTTAGTGACGTCCATCGCAGATGTCTGCCAAAAGATTCCTGCCTACTGCCCTTTCCTCTGACGACCTTGCACATTACCTGCCTCACAGGAAAAGAGTCATTTTAGTCAGTCTGTGATTCACTCTGACTCAGTTCGTATTTCATTTCACCATCCTCTCTTCCGCTACGGAGGAGAAGAGCAGAGGGAGGTGTGTTTTTAAAGGACACTTTTAGACATCACACCTGTGGTCACATCCTCCGATTACATGGAAATTAGGGCAATCACTCATTGAGGAGCTGTTTCACTGATGGAAAGATCGATCATGCATAAAAAGTAAAGAACACTGAAGCGTTTCACTGTAGAAAACGATTCCCTGTTTGAATTAAATTAGCAAATGAACCAAACAAAACCAAAAAAACACATTTGGGTGCATGGCTTTATCTCTACATGAGCCTAACATGTTATTTATTAATTTTTCTAGCCTTTTTAGGGTCATTACTCTTTCAGAATAATTAAATGTTTTTTATGCTTTTTGAGTAAGAAACTAGATATTATCTTGCTGTAACAGCATTTAGCCAATTTATGTCTCTCTTTTATTTATACCAGGTGGTGTCGCATTTAATATCTCTGTGTTGTTACCTACTAATGGATCATAGGCTTGTTGACCGACATCTGTAGAGGTGATTACATCATGGCTTGACAGGCTAGAAGAAACTGAATCAATGTCATCATGCAGGTATCTAATAAATACTCAATACCACCGTTAGATCGATTCTAACGATATTTTAGATCGATCCGCCCAGCTCTACTAGCATGGAGGCATAATCTCTCCAACGCGTGCTGGGTCGATCTGGGGCGCTTCTGCAAGCACGGCATGCCCAAAACACCTCCCCTGGAAGGTGTGATGTGTCTCATATGGATAGAAACCCAACAAAATGCCAAAAACCTGCAAAGTTTACTGGGTTTTGAGCTCCAAATACAAACACGTGTTCCAGTCACAGTGTCGGCTTCGCTTGACGAAACCTTGCTAGGAAAAACGTTTTGTTATGCTCACAGAGGACTTGTGGACATTTGTCCAGAATTCTGTAGCCAAGCATGAGGAAGGATACCACAACTGATGTTTTACTCTGTGGAAGCTTTATGGAAGGATCCACGTGGCTGCGTATGGATCTTCCACATGCTACTGAGGCCCCTGATAGTGCAAAATGTTAAAAGTGTAAAAATGTCCAATTTCTATTGATTTCTTCTGTGGGAAAGTGCAAACATCCACTCCAACACACGTTAGTAATTACCATCAGGTTACTGTTGTAGGTGTTTTAGGGGTTTCAGGCACATTTTCCCACACATGTAAATGTTTTGCTTATTTTTACAGTTTAACAGGTTCAATCAAACCTTCCATATACATAAAACACAACACCATTATTAAAATAAAATTTACATTTGATTTTATTTATTGTATAGTAATATTAACTTATAATATTTCATAATTGTTGATTACTTAAACAAATTAATTAAACCTACTCCAATTAATTTATATTAATGATGAACCAAATACATGGGCTATAATGTAATTATTTATAGGATTGTTTGATAATTGTTTTTTTATATAATTTTGCACTCAACCAGTTAGTTGTTCATTTGACATAAAACAAACAAAAATAAATAAATGTTTTTAAATAAATTTCTGAATATAAAACATTTGATGGTTCTGTTTTGGAGTTTTTTCCAGAAACAACACCAAGACTGAGACTGAAAAACATCTTTAAGTAGTTTACAGTGATAGAGGAAATAAACCCAAGCCTCTAACAAAATGATTAAACATTAATAACACAATAGATGGCTTTCTCACGTCTTACTTTCTTGTGGCTCTGAAACAAACAAGAGGGATGGTGCAACAAAAAGGATCATCCATCTCCAAGCAAGCAACACTCCAGGGGTTTACCAGAACGCAGGCTAGGATTTCTTCTTGCTTTGCTGCTTTTGCTCCCCTCTTTGATGCCGATTCTCTGAGATAAAACAGGTACATGTTTGGACTTTTATTCAAATGCATACTTTTGTTTTGCTTAGAGCTTTTGGAGTGACAGTTTCACATACATGTTGGAGCTGCATCTTTAATTGAGCAATCACAACAGTAGTAGCTATCCCTTAAGCACTGAGGCTAATTAACACAACAATGTAGTTTAAAGTATGTTTATGTTTATTTATTTGGCAGACGCTTTTATCCAAAACGACTTACAATTTATAACCTGTAGGGCATGTTGTGATCTGTGGGGGAAACCGGAGTACCCGGAGGAAACCCACTCATGCATGGGGAGAACACGCAACTCCACACAGAAAGGCCGCAGCAGAGTTTCGAACCTGCAACCTTCGTGCTGCGAGACGACCATGCTAACAACTGCGCCACCATGCAGCCCAATACCAGTTGGTACTTTGCTACTCATAACGCCAGAGGATTATTTGTTTGCAGAATTACACGCTCTCAACAAATGATTCTGTGGTTTTTGCCCTTTTATCTTTGAAGATTTTTTAAAATATTGGTCAGTCAAAGCGTAGAGATCTAAACAGAAAGTGGTAGAGGCAAAATGATTTTGTAATGCATGCATTGCAGCCCAGACCAGTTTTGTGGCTTGCCAATCCCAACGCTCTGTCGGTTTTGTGATGCGACTGAGCGAAACTAAGATGACAACGGCGTGTTTGAAACAGCTTTGACATCAAATTCGGACTATAGACTTCAGCTTCACTGTGAGGCAAGAGCATATAGAGGTACTTAAGTATTTATTTAGAAAAAGGATGTATTTGTGTCTTCTTCAACAGTGTATGGCAGACTGCCCCGTTGACTAACATACGTATCGGTGAGTATGTTATTTCGTTCATTATCCAAGATCTTGCAGAAACAGGTTGAAAAACAACCATAGTTTCTGCCCTACAACTGAGATCTATCTATGGGTCATGGCCAGAATATATATTCACTAATATAGGATGGCTTGCCAGGCTAGGTCAGTCGTGCATATGGCACAAACAGACATTGATTTGTTTTCATTTTTCTTTTGGTGACACCTTCAAAATGATAAAAACCCAAACGCAGCACGGAATTTTGTGATGCTCTCGATTAATCCCATAAACCGAAACTCCTCCGGTACCCAGGGCAGCGGCACTTGAAGGTGCAGAATAATTCCAAAAACATGCTTTATGTTTATCAATAGATGCATGTTGCATATCCACTAAATCAGAAGAGGCTTGTCTAAATGATTCAAAACAACATTTTCTACCTCAAAAGGCCAAATTTCAGCTAAGCGAAAAAGGTGAAAGGACTTTAAAGACGCATACCCAGAAAAACATATAGCAGTGACAATGCATTACCATATTTAAACATTTAAAATGCTCTCAATTAATTTTGTAATATGGGAAAAGATATTAGAAATACAATCTGAGCAGAAGAGCAGTTGAACATCTTTCACCTGGAAGTCTTTTTTCCTGAAAAAAACACATTGATGGGTAAACTATGGTTTTAAAAATAGAAATATGGGTGATGAAGTCATCTATGACAATGGTATTTTCTGCACTTCTTTGTAAGGTAGATAAACATGAGTGGCCCAACTTTGAAGGTTTTTTAATAAAATGACCCTAAACGTTTATTTCTGTAAACTCTTAAAGGCAGTTGAGACCAGGATGGGTCGAATGCACCAGGTTTCTTCTGATTTGTTGCTCCAACAGCAAAATATAGAAATAATTCAATCATTTTCTCAGATTTGGTGAAAATTCACACGTTTGCTTTGAAACGTGAAAATCAGCAGGAAGCAAAGAACTCAGCATATAACGTATAAGAAGAAAATGGACACGATGCTAGCTAGCTATTCTTGTACTACCACAACAAAGGGGGCTGAACACAGAATCTAAAACATGTGACCTTTGACCCTGAAGGCATTCCCACATTTTTTATAGAACCAAGATAGAAGAGAAAACATGTTCAAACAATATTAATAATAAAAAAACAAACAAAGCTGAGATACACAAACAGACTGTTGCATATTTCCCGCTCAATTGCAGTTTCTACAAGATTGAGTAAGAATGTAAAAATTAACAGCAAAAGCCAAGAAATAAGTCAAAATTGATGTTGATATGTGATGTACAGACACATATCCTGCCTGCAATAATTCATTATCTGCTATTTATCCCATTGGACCCGTGGATGTTTGTAGGATAAAGTTAAAAACATCATGGCCACAAGTCAAATGTTCACATTTCAAGGGTTGGATGTCTTTGTTTTTGCACAAGTATAACAAGTAGAAAACAAATCTAAAAAATAAAAAAAATAAATAAATAAAACAAAGTCTTGATGTTCTTATGCAAAAAAATTCATTTGTTGATGACCGTATTACCAAGATCACTCCAGACCTGTGTACAGTATTGTCACAATTCAGTGACTGTGAGAGAAATACAAACATGATGACATCTGTACATTTGTACATGCCATTAATAATCTAATATTGTTCAGACTTAGACAACCAGCCACGGGGCAAAAATATCAACAAATAATAACTCAATTTGTCAGTTTGGGCATTTACAATGATAATCTGACATTGCATGCCAACACCTGCTTACAAGGACCACTGTGTACCAAACAGTTACACACACAATTATGAGGCATAAAGTGCAAGTGGGCATGCCTGTCACAAGTTGGTTAATTAAGTTATCAATTATAGACAATGACGGCATCGATTTTCAGAGACGAGCAGACACACTGGCAGTAATTAAAATCATCCTTTCCCCACCGTGTCTCATTCAGTTTTAATGCTAGAGAAAGGATTTGGAATGTACCGCGGTACTCATTTTAAATAATAACAACGGGTCTCCTCATGAAAAGTTTGCATCCACCTTACATCCACTTTAGTTACGATTATTTGTAAAATTTTGGTTTTTTTTTTCTTTGTTTTCCTCTTTTTGTTCACATGCTTTTGCTCTCTTTTGATCTATGTTGCACATAGTTTGCATTTATGTAATCTCATTGAAGTATTTAAATACTGCACGATTAAATTACCTTAAAGAGCAAGTCACCCCCAAATCAACTTTTTTTTCTGATAAACTATATAAATGTGTGTCTAATCGTGCTGCAGACATGTGTGGTCAATAGTTTAGCACTTTAGTGCATTTTAGTTAAAATCAAAATTTTCCGCCTAAAACTGTCAGTGTTGTGCCATTGCCAGGTAAAAATTCTGCACTGCATTTGAATTTAAATCTGTCATCGCTATTGGCTAAGAGGCACCCTTGAACGTTAGCTGGTACCATATGATGTCACAATGTCATTGTGAGCCTGCGTGTGTGTGTATTTGTTAGCGGCTCTGCCCTCTCGGTCTGCTAGGCAACAGCATTTGTTGCATTTTTCAAACAAGAAGTGGGAGTGGAATAATACTCTGGTAGGGGTGACTTGCTCTTTAATAAAGAACTTTAGGAAAGTGTCACATAAGGGATGTTTCAATTATTCTCTATTTCGCTTCAAAACAGGTCCACACGTCATTTAAAATCCTAAATCGTCACACGACTTGTTTTTTTTAAATGTTCGTTTGTTGGCATTTCATAAAAAAAATTTAAAAAAATTTCTTTGGAGATGGAGAAAAAAAGCTCAACAACGGTCTAAGAGAGGAGAAAGCGGTACAGCTGAACATCAGTCAGCTGTAGTCAGTAGTAACGTCTGCCACTGGTTTCATCCTGTCATTTTCGCCCTTCCTTAAGAAGCTGCAAATAGATGTAGAATCCAGCACACAATGGGAAACACCTCAGATAACACAAGCTTCAAGCTTGAGATGAAAACATGGCACTGATATTAAAAAAAAGATTCATTGGACCACAAACATGATCACGTTAAAGAGTTCTAAATTACAAAATTGGCATTTGTTCCCTGTTTAATAAATGAAACATCACTAGATACAAATGAAAAAGAAGTGCTACCATGAAGTGTAAAATAAAATACCGATGACTCTCCGATCCCAGGCACAGTTTCAGAGTTCTTGCTTTAAGTACAATATTCTATACACCTAGCATGCCAAAAGTAAGAAGGAAAAAAATCCCCAAAGGCAAAATTTGACCTACATTTTCCCTCTCCATATACTTCAAATAATTTCTCTGGCCCGTGGGCCGATCGGGAAATGAAGTACCAAAACTCTTTTTCCATTCACTGCTCAAATCTGGTCTCCAGTCACAGCTTCTGCTGAGCAGATACACCCTTCCAATAATCAAGGATGTCATGTAGGTCCTCGCCCTTAGCAAACTGCACCTTCTTTCGAAGAGCGTTACCAGCCGTCACATAACAGGACTCGTCTCGCGGGCCTTTTCGGTACGGACGAAAACGCTCCCAGATCCGCAGGGAACTTTCTGAGGAGTACTCTGGACTAGAGGAGTACCCAGAGTAACTGGAGTGGTGACGGGCAGGGGAAAGCTGGGAATAGGATGCCGCGTCCTTGCGGGAGCGTGTCAGAGGTTTTAGAAAAGATACTCGTTGGGCTGGGGAGCCTTGGTGGGACCCTTGGTAGTACAGAGCTGGGACAGAGTGGCGGTGTTCCGAGCAGTGGTAGTCCTGCTGCACCTCCAGCTGCTGCTGCTGCTGCTGTATTTGTTGTTGTTGATGGTAGTGATGCGACTTCTGGCTGTCCTGATGTTGGACACCAACACCACCACTGTCGCAACCACCACCCCCTCCACCACAGCTCCCACTCCCCACTAAAGGCAGCCTCTCCAGAGGCTCCCCACAACCCACGGGACTGGCTTGGTCTGGAAAATGTGGCAGTTGCTGGTTGCATCCATCTGGACTCCTCGGCTCAGGGACATCCAAGCTATAAACTCTAGCTGCCCCTCGGTCCCTGTCTCGACCCATGGAGCCACAAGATGTGGTGCTGCTTTGCTTCTTGACAGCATTTGCCATCACAACAGCTGCATCTGCGCTCATTTGTCGCTGAATGGGGCGGGTAGCAGTGGCTGGAGGAGGGTGCCTGTAGGGTGGAGAAACAACAAAACCACCACCGCTGATCCCTGGGCGCTCAGACAACGGGGTATTTAATGCAGGGAGTGGCGGAGGAGGGGGTATTTTGTTGGGAGCAATAGCCTTACATGCTTCTGTCACCCCCGGGGAGAGAGGGATTAGACCACGAGTGAGAGAGGATGTGCTGGTGGGTGGTGGGGATGTGGGATTAGAGGAAGCTGTGGAATTAGTCGAAGCACCAGAGGCAGCAACTGCTGCTGCATCCAGCTTCAGCGCATCTATACAATTGTTAATGATCTGGTTAACTTTGTCCACCTCCATAGCAATAGTGGAGATCTCTGAGGCAGATCCACGTCCATCATCATCAGAGTCTTCCCCAAGATCCGTTCCATCATCGTCTCTCAGTTCCTCCCCCCTCCTCACTCCAAACCCACCATCCCCCATTCTTTCCATCCCTGCTCCACCAGTTCTCACATCTATATAGTTTCCTTTACTTGTAGCCATGGCTTCAGAGAAAGCACTGGCCATCTTTTCCACTTGAGGGATAGAAGAGAGTCTTGAAGAGGTGGTGTTGGCTGAATGAAGCATGCCAGAGCTTGATGAAGTGGACAGTTTACCTCCATGGTGGTGCTGGTACTGGTGATGTTCTCTGGACTGCTCCTGAAGCTTATGTACGGCCGATGGATCGTTTGCTACAGCTGCTGCCACCTCTGGCCCATATCGCATTTCTAGTATAGTTTTTTTGACACAGATAGACTTCTTCTTCTCATCATGCATCCTCTTCTTACGTAAGCAATAGTAGACAATTCCTAAAATAATGAGCATGCCAAAAAGGCAGCCCACAATGGTCATTATGTAGTGTGTGGTTGTTGAAGGTGTGGGGAGCATATCATCCTGGTTTTGAGTCCTCGTGGAAAACTGGAGACAGGTGTGGTTATAGCGCTGGGAGTTACGAATGGAGGCCACGCAGAAGGTGTAATTGTTATTGGGCTTGAGCTTGCTCAGAGTGATCATCTCCTTCTTATTTTTCAAATTCATAACGTCTGAAACAAATGTTTGATTATATTGTGTTAGGATGTACATTTTGCTGTAAGGCTTTGGGATCTTTACGAGGAGAGAGGCCGATGACAGCGAGACTTGGTGGAGCTTGATGCTGGGACTGAGGCCATCATCAGAAGACGAGGAAGAGGTGGTGGGCTGGTGGTAATAGGGCCCCACACCAGCAAACATATCGGGTCCAATCCCAGAGGCACCGTCTAGATCAGGTGGGAGAGACGTCATTCCTGGATGCATCCGACCATCTCGGCAATGATGGTACAAAATGTTTTTGGCATTTCGACCTCCGTGGCTAGAAGCAAAAGGACTTAATAAGGGGTAGCCAAACATTTCCCGAGGTGTTTCACACTGAAGGCGGTCGTAGGTGTGTGACATGTTGTTGAAGTATTCTAACCAGGTCAGAAAGCCATAAAGATCACAACCACAATGGAACGGATTTGGTGCCAGTTCGCACACCTGCAGATGACTGAGAACTGTGAATGTTGTCGGGTCAATACGAGCAAGTTTGTTGGATGACAAGTCAATGCTGCTGAGGCTGGGGCATTCCCAGAATGCATTGCTGGCAATAACTTCAATTAGATTGTGCTGCAGGAAGAGGCACTGCAGGCGCCCAAGCCCTCTCATCATACCTTCAGTTAAGTTAGTCAACTTGTTGTAACCCAGCTGAAGAACCTGAGAGAAATACAAAAACAAGCACTTTTTATCACTCGTTTTTAACTTGTAGGCCTAGGAATTTCTGTAATTAGTATACCTGATCTTATATTTTTTGTTAAAGCTAAATTAAAGTTATACAAGAAAAAGTGTTTCTAGCATTTGCTTTCAAATCATCTTTATCTTTAAAGGTACAATGGCAAATTTGCCTAACAAGCTAGCTTAAAAATCCAAACAATGTTGCACAGTATGACTATAAATATTTTGTGCACAAGAAAAATGAAAAAAAAAGAAGAAAGAAGTGGTTCTCTCTGTCTCACTCAAGTTCTCCACTCTAATCAGAGAAGGAGAAACAGTCGGATGCTACCACTTCAACTTCAAGACAAACAACCAGAGTCCCAAAAAGAAAAACACCAGTAGAAAGAAAGGACAACAAAAGATGTTTGGATCTAGAAAATGGCGACTGGCATTTAGTGCTCTCTCATTTACAATGCAAGTTCTAGTATGTTTATTTTATGTTTATTTATTTGGCAGACGCTTTTATCCAAAGCAACTTACAATTTATAACCTATAGGGCATGTTGTGATCTGTGGGGGAAACCGGAGTACCCGGAGGAAACCCACGCATGCATGGGGAGAACACGCAACTCCACGCAGAAAGGCCGCAGCCGAGTTTCGAACCTGCAACCTTCGTGCTGCGAGGCAACAGTGCTAACAACTGCGCCACCATGCAGCCCAGTATCAGATGGAGCTGGGCCATTTCTCAGTACTCAAGGACTCTAGTACAGCCTCGTGTACTAGACAAGTATGTTCTTGGCAAGGACACTAGAAACTCTGTTCTAACGAGTTCGAGAGGACGAGGACAACATTTGGAACAGACCTGTACTCCGTTGTGTCCTGGCAACAAGCACTGCTTCTTGCCACGGTTAAAAAAACTGACCTGACATAAAAATTAAAGTCTAGATTGTTTCTTGAATGACAAAATAACAAAGAAAATGTATTATTCGTATCATATTTGGCCCACTTTAAAAAAACTAATAAAATACTAGAATTTCTTACTCTAAAAAGGTATACTTTTCATCAGAACAGAGCTATGTTGCTTTTATTTTGATAGTGGGCTAGCTAATTAGCATTTTGAAGGATGAATGAATGAATAACTTTATTAATGGAGCACATTTCCTGCATGGTAACAACTCAATGTGCTTAACAGTAAAAGAGACTAAGTAAAACAATAAATTATGAAATATGTACACACTTTAACAACAAATGGTGTATACATACATAAAATATGTAAAAATATGTATAAAGGATTGTGAAGATTAAAACCCAAACACTCACAGCAAAATTTACAGTTTACACAGAGTTATTTAAATAATAGACAACTTTCTATTGTTTTATTTGTATTTCTAACATAAAACATTACCGTTATTAGCTTTTCTACTCTAATGTTCAGAGTTTAACGGTTAGCAACGCAATGTATTATGGGAAACTTTACTGTCCTTGATACAATGGGCGGAGCAAGAACACATCCGGGAACTCTGAGTGAACTTGCTATGATGCATTTTTAGGATTGGAACAGTTCACGAGGACGTGAGTACACAAGTTCGGACGAGTCCCCATATTGAGAAACGGCCCTGGACCAGGGATGATAGCTGATGGGACGGTTGAGAATACCGTGGTCATGTTTGTGTTTAAAAGCTAGCTTGTTTTGAAGATTTGCTGTTGCAGCTTTGATGTCTAGAAAATTTCCATTTAGTTAACTTTGTCAGATAAAATATTTGCAATCCAAAGACAAGGTAAACTTCATGTGCTATATTCTTGTATTAAACTCTTAGCTTCTAAGATACATTTTTAGTCACCTGCAGATAGGCTTGTCCTGCAAAGGCCCCATCTTCAACATAGCTGATCTCATTCTTGGTGAGGTTCAGGTCGGTCAGGTTCGTGAAGCGGTACATGTTGCTGAAAAGCACCGCTTTGAGCTTGTTCTCATTTAGTCTCAAGTCTTGGACGGTGTTGTTAATGTGCTGGGGGATCGTCTCATAGGGAGGCTGGTTCTGGCTGCATATAGCGAGCCATACATAGCCTTTGTCTCCTTCAATAAGCCAACAGTCTCCGTTGGCTGTGTCGGGGAAACAGGAGAAGAATAGTAGGGAGGGGAGAATGAGAGGGAGGAGAATTGAGGCTGTAGAAGCTCCCTGCATGATGTTATTGAAAATAAGTGACACAAAGTGGACGCTTTAATCACGACAAAGACGTAGGAGACGGTGTTTGCAAAAGGAGGGAAAAAGACGGGGGTTCAGAGGGGGAAAATAATCCAAAGGAGAGATGGGTCTGGTTGGGTGCTAAAAAAAATCTTTAGGGAAGTCTTCACAGTGCCAGTCTCAGCATCATCACGATTAGCAGCAGCCCCATGTTATGTCAGAAGATGTTGGACTGCGGGTTGAAGGGATACAGCTCATCTTCATGGTTTACTGTTTGCTTTTGACTCAACCTTTCTGTGAGATCTGTGGAGAAAACAGAAAAGATCCTTATGAGAAACATTGAATGCATCACGGTTGGTTGGTCATGTCATCAAATAATTAAAAAACAACATTAAAACCACCAGACTCAACATCATATTCATCTCATGTTAACGGCACTTCCTTAAAAATCCTCAAGCCTGTTGCATGATGCTGGTAATTTTCTGGGCCATTCCCATCTGTCCCGGGTCGGCCCGGGCCGGGTAGCCCCAGTCGGCCCCAGCCTGGCCCAGTTGATTCCACACATCCTTGTCTTAAGCCCATGTGGGCTGATTCTACCCACCAATCAGAGGCTTGCTCTAATGGAAGGTGTGAATTTGCTGTCAGCAGTGGGTGTGTTGGCCCTGGTTGGCCTGAAGCAGACCCCCTCGAGAAGAGGGCTGAGAATGAGCCTTGGTTGGCCCGGAAAAATACCAGGCCACCCAGATATGTAAACAACCTACACTACCCGGCCCGGGCCGACCCGATACAGATGGGAATGGCCCATTCCCTTCCACCTCCTTGGTACTTCACCCCATAATGCTGTCATGTCATCAAGATCTGCCTGATAACAGGAGTGTAGTAAAAGCACCTGACAGTATCTTTCCAGTCCTAAGAGACCTTCTTCCCAAAGACAAAGATCCACCATTAAATCACCCAAATGCTGACAGCAGATTGTCTCTTCAGATATTTCTTCTTATGACACCATCCTGCCAAAATCTAAGCTTTCAAAGCCATCTGCATGCAATTTGAATAGCAGTCAAGCATTTACATATGGGACAGATCAGTTGCCTATTACATCATGAGAGACACTGTTCTCTTTCTTGCTCTGTAGCTTGGACAAACATATGCACATATTGGAGAGATTCATGTTAAAATCAGCAAATGCTCCCTGTGAAATGTTTGCACGAGAACACAGACACGCTCAATCAATGTGTGTATTTATAAATGTTATAAACAGCAGGCATCCAGGCATGTCTACAGGATGGATCTAGTATGACTTGTTTTGATGCCTTATGTCCCACATCTTCAGAAGTGAGTTAAACGAAAGGGAAAAGATCTTAGTCTCCCTGAGAATGAGGTCATAAGTTTTTCCTGTGTTCCAAATTCGGGTTTCTTTCTAATTATGATGATGAAATGAACTCATTACAGTTTATTCTGGCCTATTTTCCCCAGAGACCGAAAGCAAAGAAGTTCATCTTCTTTTTCACTCTGCTTATCATTGCTGGGAATTGCAATACACAAATGTGTAAAATAGCCATTAGTTTGAACATTTGTAAGCCATTTGCATTTTTATTTTATTTGATTTTTGTATTTATTTTTGTTTTAAGGCATGTTTTACTTGGGAGGGGAGGAGGTAAGACATGGGCATTTAAATAATTAAAATAGTCATTTATGGCACCAGTACTTTTGATTATTTACAGCTAAGTTTGTGAGTATTTTAAGCAATGTAATTCACATTTAGTTGCACCTGTTTCCTACTTTAGACACTATCCAATTCAATCTGACAATATCTATAAACATGGACGTAATTTTTGAGGGGGGCAGGGGGGACATGTCCCCCCCCCCCACTTTTTCCAAAATCAAGTTTTGACCCCTGCACTTTTTACCATCCAAAAACAATATTAAGCTGTATTAAATTGACACTGGTTGAGCTCTAGGACCATGCGGAAAACAACCGTTTCTGTTGAAGCCTGTTTCCCATTAGAGCATACTGTAAAGATACCCCCCCCCCCCCCCCACACACACACACACACACTTCCAAAGTGAAAATTACGTCCATGTCAATAAAGCACATAAAAAAACACAGAGGACCAAAGTGCTTTACATTAATACAAGCTGAAAACAACAAGAGTGTGAGTCCATTTCTGTGAGAACAATGAAAAATGTTTCCTGTTTCAAGAACTAGAAGTGAGTCAGATGAGATGTGAGCTTCAGTCGGAAGGAGTTTAAGTCTTCTTTCCTGATATTCGGCTATCTCGCCTCTGATTGGATAACAGCAGCACAACTCTACCATTGACTCTGTTTGCTCTGCAACAACCACATTTTATTTCCACAAGTAACACAAGCCTGAAGGAGTTCTGTCATGTTGTGGAGTTGCTAATGATAATAGTTAGCTTCCACTAGCCGAGATATGCTCTGCTCTCTCCTGGATGCTAAATCAGCAACGGCCTTCCCCGTCGTGAGCAAAGAAGGGTGAGTCCATGAATGCTAATTTGGCATTATGTTTAAATGTCCAACACATTCTCACACCCAAGGCGTCAAAAAATGACGTGTGTGACCAAGCCTCAATATATGACGATTCGGGACGCCCCAGCGCGTCAGGAGACAACGATCAGGGACACGCTGGGACACGTGGCTCCGCTGGCGTCACTGTTTGACACGCGCGGTCACACAGACATTTTTCAACTATTTAACCTTCCCCTCACCCCAATCCTAACCTTAAGGTCCATAAGCTGTGACCTTAAGGTTAGGACTGGGGTGAGGGGAAGGTTAAGTAGTTCACTAGTAGTTCTAATGTCCGTCTCAGCACCAGCGTCGGATACTGACGCTCTGGGACACTGCGTCAGCAGTTTGTCCCTGATCGTCGTCTCCTGACGTGCTGGGGCCTCCCGAATCGTCAAGTATTGAGGCTTGGTCACATGCGTCACATTTTGACGCCTTGGGTGTGAGAATGTGTTGAAATGTCACTGTGGCTTTTCCCGTCTATTTTCTATCAGCGGGTAACGCAGGAAATACCACCAGAAGACTATTTTCGCATTTAGCCTACATGTTAAACTCATGTTATTCAAATTTCAAAAAGAAAAAGTAAAAAAACGTCATCTTGCCTGACCCCTTCTTTCCACTGCACATGAAAGCATTGCGAAACAACAGTGAAATGTACTTTACGGCAATTAGCCGCCTTTATACTGGATGAGTTCCTTTCCACCGGCAGTAAAATATAACATTTTGGATGCACTACATAAGCGAGGGGACACTATCATTTTGTTTTGATTCTATTTTTTTACGTGCTACGGTTTCATAACACGTTAAACTCTGGAGTTTAGATCATGCTAGACAGGAAGTCAAACACAAAAGCAGTGTAAAACATTCAGAAAATTTCAAAATAAAAGTCACATGGAGGTAAACACACATCATTTCTGGTCAAAACCCTCGTAGCCAATGTAAACAGAAAGCAAACCCCAGATGTTTTTGACACATGCAGCTGTCTTTCTTAGGGATGTCCCGATCCAATCACATGATCGGAAATCGGCCCCGATCACGTGGTTTCAGACTGATCGGAACTCGGGCTTTACTTCCCGATCCAAGCCCCGATCCGGAGTTGGATACTGGGTTCAAATTACAGGAGAGCAACTTGGTTCTCCTAAAGGTTGTCAGGCTCCCCTGATACCCTTAACTTACACACCCAGAAGGACCACAAAAGAGGTCCAGTTTCTATCTATATTATATTATTTATATGGACTCAGAGTAGCGGGGATTCTTTTGAGCAGAGATGCAGAGAGCGGCAAGCAGACGCTGATTATTTATGAACTCCAGCTGCGTTCTGCACACGGCCACAGTAACATTTTATAAGTTTCTAAGTGGTGTCACCAAAACATTTATAATTAAGACACAGTCATTCGTGTCCGGTCATTTTCTCTCTGTTAAGTTCTGTCTGTATTTGAGCAGGACGTGTGGACGCGCTCGCGTTGCAGTGCTCGTCACTGGCTCAGCCGGGCAGCGCAGTGCAAACCCTGCTTTTTTGCGGTCAAAAGATCAATTAGATCTGCTAGTTAAAAAGTTACCTGTGAGGTGAAAAAGAAGGGAGCAGACAGGAGTTTTTCTGGAGGACTGGGAGATGCAGGAAGATCAGGGACAGACAGGACAGGAAGACAGGAAAATAAAAACCAAAAAAACATAACAAAGTTCTTAAAAAATTCAAATGTAGATAGATTTATCCCACTACGCGTTTGTACCTGTATGAAGCAATAACTTATCAGCATGTAGTATTTATATAGTTGATACAATTCAGATCATCTTCAAATCTCCGTCCCACGCCCAGGGACGTATCTAACCATTTTGGGGGCCGAGGCAAAATAGACCCCTGCCAGGTATTTTAAGTTGAAGTGTTATCTGTTGTTATATTAGACCTTTTATATTTACAATAAAGTCCAAAAGTGAAGAATTTATGTTATTTATTACTTGATTGTTCAAGCTACCTCACAGAAGTGATCTGTTGTTAAAAATTAAAATAAAAAGGTAATTAAATAAAAAAATAAGGAACATTCTGGAACCGTTTCTTCCTTTTCTTATTTTATATGTATCAAAAGTATCGGATCGGGACTCGGTATCGGCAGATTCTCAAAATCAAATGACTCGGACTCGAGGGCAAAAAAACCTGATTGGGACATCCCTAGTCTTTCTCCTTGCTTATTATTGTGTGTGGACATCTGAAATCCCTTGTGATGTTGCAATTCTCCCGTGATTTTCTAACATCACGAGATCAGCTGTGGAATGCTTTCACTTCCGTCTCGCATCAGAGTTGCTGATGGGCATGAGCTCGCAGGTAAAACACTGCTGTTACGTTACGCGACTGCTTCCACTGCCGGTGGAAAGAAGGGGTAAGAACACTAAAAGTTACTTGGATAGAGCCTTTAACCTCACAATCAACCAATTACAGGGTGAAATCCTAACCCCTGAGCCATTGTCACCCCAAGCAAAACAAAACGTGAAAGTACAAAAAAGCAAAGCAAGAGGTCATAGGAGTTCATGGGGAACAGGAAACAGCAGGTGAACTGTTGCACAAGAGATACTGGAGGGTACTGATGCTGGCAGGGGTTATTTCTGAATAAGGACAGGTGCGTAAATGAGCTGTAGGGCAGATGGAAAACAGGTATAAGAGACTGAACACACAATAAACACAAAAACAACAAAGGAAATCTACTCAGAAACATATTAAAACCCCAAACTCCAGAAATCAAACTAAGACTTGATAAAATAAAAGACCAAAACCCAACATTGTGACA